TCTCATCTTTTACATAGGTTTTGAATTTTTATAACCTAATATCTCCATCATAAATGATACATGTTTTAAGTCTCCCTTACCTAACATTTCATTATGTATTATGCTATCTCTATTATATACTGATATTGCATGTCAGCATTATTACAAATTATGTATGATTTATTGTATTATTTACATTTAAGGGCCACTTAGAAATTCTATATCCTAGGAGAAGAGAAATCAAACTTTTGCAGTAAGCTCCCTTTTTAAGACATATGGCTAAGTCATTGTTTTAAAACACAGTATTCAACTCCCCTTTCTCTTTCCTTTCTTATTGTGTATAATCATCCTGTTTCTAGTTATGCTTTTTCTAGGCTATTTGACTCACAATTTCCAATATTTTTCTCCTTTATGTATGAAGTTTTTAAAAATACTGCTCTATAAACACACATACATTTAAAAAGGAAATATAATGATTTAGATATATTAACATAGAACTCACTAAAATTTAGTTTATTGAAATAAATTTTTAAAATATAATCTATTATATTTCCCCTCTTAGATTACAACTACCCATCATTGTAATCTAAAGAACTTATGTCTTTTAAGTATTATTAGGAACACGTAGCATTATAAAATGCTAGTGTATTTCGATTAATTAGTGTATTATTATTAATGTCCAACTTGTCACAACTTGACCAAAATAAGCCTTTAATGCCGACTCCTATTTTCTTTGTCTTACATGTTTCCTTATTTGCTGAAACAGTGGTGTCCAGCAGTAGTGGCACTAGGGTTTATAAGGTAGGAGTGGGCAAGAGTAGTGTCACTGCTATTTGGCCTTTTTTTTTTTAATTTGAAGTAAGAGTCACAGGTAATGGAATCATTTTACAGTCATGTGAAAACATTCACAAATCATTTATTTGTGTTTGTTTTAAATTTATTTAAACACTCCTTACTTTTCCTGAGACTCATAAACTGCAAAGACTTTCCAGAACCAGGAAATTTCAGATTGTATCCACTCATCTTCAGCTAATACATCCTCCACACTGCAGCCAGCCTATTCTCTTAAAATGCAATTTTTACTCTTTCTCTCCTCCATTGAAAAATGACCTCCCTTCAAATGTAAAATAAGCATCAAAAATTATCTCATTCTTTGGCCTCTACTTCATCTGCGTCTTCTGTGACTCTCCCTAATCCTAGAGTATCCTCCCACACTGGCTTTCCTGTAGATCTCAAATGCACCCAAATAGGTATTTGGGAATAAGTGCCATTCTTGAGGATTTGTTCGTCTAGTGGAAGAAGGCATTTTTATAGGCAACTGCAACAAAACACAGTATCTTGTTAGTATCACTGGCAGCTAGCACAGCACCTGGAACACAGGTGACCTGCAAGCAAACAATTCACGATTATATTTGGGCAAGAGCATACTCGCGTGATAAATCAGATGAAAGAAATTAACATATAAATTAAAAGCATTATTGCCACCGTGTTTGAAACAAAACAAATATTAATTATCTAGACAAAAACCAAATTAGAGAGGCACAAAATTATTGGGATGGCAACAGCATAATGTGGAACAGTGCCCAATAAAAGACACTGAAAAAGATGAATGTAAGAAAATCTTTTCATCAAAATATGCAACACGCATGCTACAGTCTCTGCCTTAAGTTGTTTAATGGGTGTATCTGTGTGCATGCACACACACGTTTCTGCGTGCAAATAATGACTTTCTACATTGAGATTTAAAGGCTAATGTGTAGAATTTTAACATTTAATAAATCACTAGAGTGGATTGATATGACTCACATTTGTCCTAAGCCCACCTTCCTAAGATCACTCACTGCAAATTGTAGCATGCGTTTTTATTTTCGATTTTTTTTTTTTTTTGCAACTGCAAGAGCAAAGATAATTACAAATCAGACTTTTATATGCCAGGCATGTCCTGAAACTTGCCAAAGTCACAAGAGACGAGAAAGTTTCCTTCAGTTCTTCCACTGGCACGGCCATCTGTTGATAGACTAAATAAGGCCCAGCATTAAGTATTCACTTGGATTACTGAGAAGGATAGTTTAAAAAGAACTAAAAGAGAGTTAGAAGAATGGTGATCAGGGCCTAAACATCCCTGTATAATGCATTATACACAACTGCCTGACATTCATATTATTTCCTTAAATGACAAAAGAGTCTTACATTGCAAACATACATTGACTCTGTTAGAAATGAAACAAAACAATCTCTCCTGCATTTTCTGCACTGTAATTAATTTATATACCCAGGAAGAGATGATGAAGTATTGCTCTGAGCTGTTGGGCTCAGCCTCAGAAGTCATTAGGGATGTCACTTAAAAGAGATTACTTCTTTGCTATTAAAAGGCCTATAAGTAAGCCTTTTATTATTTATATACAAGTTTATAAATAAAAGGCTTATAAACTTATGTATATCAAATGCAGAAAGAATATTTTGATTTAGGATAAAGAAAAATAGTCTAGGAGAAGTTAAAGTCCATGACTGCTACCTTGGGAAGAAATAGTTGCATTTCCTTGGAGGTATTTGACCAGAAAGACAAGTACTTGGCAGGGAAGTTGTAAAAAGACATTCACAAACTCTTTGAATTTTTGGATATAAGATCCTACTCAAAATTTAAGATTGAAGATAGGTGCTTATCCTAATTATATTTACTGCCAGTAGTTCTAGATTGTATTTTTTCTTTTGTCATGAGATTTCACCTCTGTAAACATTCTCCTCTGTCATTTCTGGAGAGTAGAGAAACATTACAAGATAAAATATGGGGAAAGAAGAACTTTCTCCGTAATCATTCAAGATGTAAACCAAAAATAAAATTCTAAGCCCCCCCAACCATCTGAATGGACCTCTCCTCTCAGACAAGAGCATTTCAAAGTTAGCCTGAAAAACTAGCTGAGGCCATGATGGGAAGGAGGAGTCAGACATGCCTCATTATACCTTCCTCCCTTTTGGAACTTCTGATAGAACAGACACTTTCAGTCCCATAGGAAACATTTACAGCCTGTTCTCTCTGAGGCCTGCTACCTGGAGGCTTCATCTGCATGATAAAACCTTGGTCTCCACACCCCTATCTTAACCCAAACATTTCTTTTTTTGATTCCAGGTCTTTAGATAATAACTCTTTCAACCAATTGCCAATCAGAAAATCTCTGAATCTGCCTATGACCTGAAAGCCCCTGCTTCCAGCTGTCCCACCTTTCTGGACCAAACTAATGTACATCTTACGTATAGTTATTGATGTCTTATGTCTCCTTGAAATGTATCAAACCAAACTGTAGCCCAGCCACCTTGGACACATGTTCTCAGGATCTCCGGAGGGCCATGTCCTGGGCCATCAGTCACTCATATTTGATTTGAAATAAATATCTCCAGATAGTTTACAGAGTTTGACAATCATTATAATTCATACATCTCATACAACATAATGGAAGTCGTTGCTAATAAAAATTATATTTGAGTAGGTTTTCTTCATTTACAAGCATTTTTTTACTGGCCTTCCTACGTAAAGCGTATATTGGAGTTTTACAGCATTTGTGGTCTTCCATAGGGTTGAGGGTGCTGTTGCATCAGTGATGGGTGGAAAAAGAGTTTGATTTGAAAGAGACAAAACTGTAAGATAGTATCATTCAAAGAGGCTCTCCTCCTGCTATGATCAGAAGAAAATTAAAATGACAAGTCAGAATACACAAAAGCAGAGCTGTCAGGCAAAGGGCAAGATGAGAAGCTGCAGCTCTGGCTTCCTGAGAGATTTAAGACCCTGTTAATTTTTAAACCACAAATCTTAAGCTTTCCTGTTTCGTTTGGTTTGGTTTTGTTTGTTTTTCATCTTAAATCACCTTGTTTTGTAGTATGGCACCATTTGCATACTGTAACACCAGATTGTAAGAACACAATTTATAGCTACAGCAATAATGAATCTAGAATTATTCTGATTTATTCATTCTGTTTTTCCTACAAGTCCATTTCTATTTGTCAGATAATCTTTGTATGCATGTACTTTTAATTCAGTGTGAGCACTCTTTTTTGTGTGATAAGGAGCCCATTGAAATCTCTAACAGTCACGGGTAGGTGGATCTTATATATTTGGACACATGTAATAAAAAGTCTCCAGGGCAAGAGACTGAGGGCCAGTTAGCAGCTCAACAGCATCATCAATGCAACTGGCTTTCTAAATCCTTCTAATCTTCTGCCCTCCGGCATGTGGACAACGTTGTGGCTACACATAGCTTCCATACCCCCAGATCAGCCTTCAAGGTAAGAAGAGAATAGAGGCAAAGCAAGCCACTCCAGAAGTCCTCTAGTCAGCTTTGTCCTTAGTTTGATGGCCAGAGATGGGTCATATGAACACTCTAGCTGCAAGGATGCTGGGAAAGTGAGTAACTTGTGAGAATGGCAGGAGATATGGAATGATTCATGGATTGGCCAGCAGTCTCTGCTACTTGAGGCTAATGGTTACACAAGATTTAACCAGACACCAACACATTTTTTGAGGGCCTATTATTCATACTCCAAAATAAATATGAAAGTCAGAGATCCAAGAGGGCTCTTTCCCAGAAAGGGGATAATATACTATATTCCATAGTACACAGTGGATAAAGAAAAACAGTATACTATATTTTTGGTGATATTTTGATCCTCTGCTAGTTTACCTGCAGCAATTATCAGTAAAAAATAATTAAAAATATAAAAATACTTTTAAGAAAAGGAACTTGAGCAATTGCCTTTGAGGAAATGGAAACAACAGACTTAGAAAAAGTTCACCTGAGGTGTGTGTCAGGGTTAATGGTAATATCAAAAAGTACCATAGGCAGTAACGACTTTAAATGGAAAAGGAAAGACGGGTGAGTTTCTGGAACCTGCACCAAAGAAGAAAAGAAGAATAGTTTGGCCCTGAGCAGAAATATTTGTATATTTTTAAATTCCTATACAGTATTCATTCTTACATCTATTATTTAACCTTTTTTTTTTCTTTTCTTTTCTTTTTTGGCCTACTCCAGCTAAATACTGTGCTGGTTATCCCCATCCATAACTCCTCCCAGAGGGCCCCATATCCTATCTTCCAGAAGAGCTAATAGTCCATGGTAAGTTATGCATTTGGACTATGATCAAGTGGAATAAAATATTATTTTCCCTTTTATCCAACTGGCAAATTGCATACTCTTCCTCTAAAGTCAACTGGATGCAATGCTTTAAAAAGACTTCCTTGATAACATACTGTGAGTTCTTTGAACACCTTAATTATGTCCCAATGACATATGTCTTGGCATTGCATTTCAATTATTTGTCTGTATTGCTGTTCTGAGGGAAAGATCCGTGATTTATTTACCTTTATAATTTCAGTACTAAGTATAATACCTTGCACATAGAAAGAGTTGAATAAACAACTGATGGAGAAATGAATAAAGGAACAAATAAATGTTCTGTTAAGGGAAACAGTTATAAACAAGGAAGACTAAGAAAAAGGAGCAGTTAATTCTGTATCAAGGCATCTAAACCAATTTGATTTACTTAAATGGCTTTGTCTCTAAATGAAAATACAAAGTTTATTTTTAAAAAATTTCAACTTATAAAGAAAAAACTCATAATAGTTTGTCTGTATATATCCAGATAATAAAAAAAACTCTGTCTAGATTATTATAGTTTATATGCTAAGAATAAAGGTGATACAAAATGTTCAACAGAAGTACTATTATTTCCAAAGAAAGGGAAAGATAAACTTACATATTCTCTATTTTCTTAGTCTGTGTAATTCACTTTATTCAGTTCCAAAAGAAAAAAGTCTTAGAAGACCCAGATCATAAATTCCTTTACCAGAACATAAATTCTTTCATCCAATGACCTGATTTTTTTTTTCTTTTCTTTTTTTTTTTTTTTGAGACGGAGTTTCACTCATGTTACCCAGGCTGGAGTGCAATGGCGCGATCTCGGCTCACC